ACATTATCCTTTGGCTGCAGTGGTTAATAATGAATCAGTCTGCACAGACTGATGGTCAAACACTGACTGAGCCTGAACCAGTAGTTAAAAGGCCTGGAGAATCCCACAGACTGACCTGCAGTGTTTGATGCCCGTTACTGGAACACTTGGATCAGACAGGCAGCTGGGAAACAACTGGAGTAGATTGCTCTGATCAACAGTGGCAGCAGCAGCATCTACTTCTCTGACTCAGTCAGAAACTGGAGACAACAGCAGAAATCAGGTGTTTCTGCAGATGAAGATACTCCTGATTGATACACATGAAATACTCTCAATCTTCTGAGAAATTAATTTTGAGGAATTTAAATGTACAAACATTTGACTGGAAACTATTATTTAGAAGAAATTTATAATAAACATACATAATAAACATTATAATAGATAGTAATCATTAAAAGCCTAAAGACTGAGGAAAAATAGAGAGTTCAGATATTTTTCTAATTAAAAGAAATTACAAAGGGCATGCAGGTGGTGCAGGGTTTAAGCATGCAACTAATGTATGAAAGCTTTGGTGCTTGATGTGGCTCTCACAGGTTCAATGTTCTTTCCCTTCCCATTCCCTCTCTCTTATCCTGCCTGCATACTTTTGTAAATAGAGGACAGTAATGCCTCAAAATAATCTTAGAAAACTGCATATTCTCTCCATTCAGAGTCATTATTTTGCAGGAAGTATCTAAGTTAATGCTAAACTTGTTCTTCAAAGTAATTTTTAAATTTATTTTTTTCTGGTGGTTTATTGGGATTGAAAAAGAAAAAAATAATGTGGTCATTATTGATATAAATAAATACAATTTCAGTTTATTATTTCATACATTTTTTTTTATTTATGAAACCGATAGAGAAACCCATTTATGGATGCAGCTTTATTCTCACTGAAGTTCTGAAATAGTAAAATCTCAATATATTTTTCACTGAAATGTAAAATATATATTGTTAATGATAAAATTAAACTACTGTAGATCTCTTTTTTCACTGTTTGTTTCCAGAACGAGAGGAAAGAGGAAGAAAGTCACCCTGATTTATATTGAATCAAACCAAGGGATGTATCTGTGTAATAATTAAACAGCTGGAAATATTTTACCTTAATATTGGAGATGTAGTTATATTGTCTTTTAATTCAGATTAAAGAACAAACAAACATTTTAGAAAGTTTGGTTAAAGTATTGACTACCTGTTTATCATTATGCAAATGATTGGTTCTGGTTTAAAGTCTTGATCTGATGCTGTCAGCTGCAGAAGAGAAACTCCCATCAGATCATC